TTATGTATAAAAGAATGAATAAGTAAGGACTACCAGGAGTAGTACAGTACCTTGGGCTATTCACAATAGGGAGACTGGGAAGAGGGCTATGTGGAGAGGGCCTTCTAATAGGAGGCAGCCAGTCCTGTGGCATGGCAGAGACCAAGGTAGGGTATAAATCTCCTAATATCACATTTCTTTCTCCTTCAAGAATCCAGACCAGGATCCCTACTGGCCAACTTCAATCAGGTCAGAGAGGGTAGGATTCTCCTAGGAATGAGACGGGGTGAAATGGGCCAAAAGACCACCTAAACAGACCAGAGCAGACCACCCACCAATAAGCATCAGATGGGGGGAGGGGCACCCAGTGAGACCAAAATTGGGCCATTTTCTCTCAAAAATCTGAACCAATATGTTATATGAATGTATGTAATTTATAGCCACACCAAAAAAATATATGTTGAAAACTTTTTTAATAAAGTATACAATTTGCAGTTCTGCTATATGCTGATTATGGTCTTGGGAAGGTTATCCTATCACTTGATGGACTGCCTTTTGCAGCTAAATGAGCACAGTTCCTAGGTGTCATGAGAGAGATGCCTACAGTGCTGAAATTTAGGACTTCCTTCATGTATGGGTATGTCCTTTCAAGTAATGCTTTAACAGGGACTAAAACACCAGAAAATAGGTTGGAAAACCCTAAACATTCTAAATGAAACCAGAGGCTTACCCTATTTTCACTTACAACACAAAGAAGCCTGTGTTTGAGTCCCTGAAGCACTCAACACTCACCCGCCACAATGGGGCCCCAAAGAAGACGACTCAAGAAGTAGGTGTGCAATATCAGCTACTCACTCAAGAAGTAAGATGTCAAACACTCTTATCTCTTATCCTCATGCTTGGTGTATGATCAAACACAAGGCATATGCAAGAAGTGAGGAATTAATTAGTCCATAGGGCTACTTGATCATGTGACCCTGAGATTAAAATAACTGTATTAGTCTGGGTAGACTAGAGAAACAATTTCACAGACACTCATATGTATAGAAGAAAGAGGCTTAAAGATAAGAGCAATTAAAAAAAAAAAAACCATCCTACCCCAGTCCAGATCTAGTCCATAGTTCCAATATTAGCCCCTATGTCCAATATCAATCTAAAAGTCCTCTCCAGACTCACAAAATACATGCAATGATGCTGAATGCAGGAGGATCACAGGTCAGTGGGATGGAGGTCTTGTGGATCCAGTGGCGTTGTAAGCATCTCAGCACTGGCAGGGGTCTCCATGTGGCTTCTCCAGTTCGCAGGGCATGAGGTCTATCAATGTAGTGCCATGTGTCTAGTCAGTAGACAGTCTCCAAGGAAGTGAGCCAAGAGAGAAAGTCTGTCTCCCACTTCCAAGGAGGAAATCCAGGAGTTTCAAGAATTCGCAGGGGAAGGTCATGCCCACACAGAAGCTTCATCAGCTATGATCCGATTGACAGACTAGACTCCATCCCTTCACTCTTAATCCTATCAAGTCCCAAATTGACACCAGATTATGTAACTACCACAAACTAGATGATGATCACCACCGCTGCCAATAACTCTGAAAGGGAATCCCAGTAAGAGGTCCTGGGTCAAGTGGGAGAGAAATATGGAACAAAACAGAAATCATTAAAAACACACACACACACACACACAAAGTCCAGGGTTCTTGGTCAAATAGAATCTGGTGGAGTCCTAGAGACTATGGTCCTTACACCGCCTCATGGCCTGGAACTAAACTGACCTCCAGCTTTCAGTCAAATGATAGGCTTACAAAGTGAACAAAAACAGAGGAGGTACACAAGCTTTGGAACAATCAACCGCACAAGATCAAAAAGGCAGCATTTCCTGGGGATAAAGAGGAGACGGCAGGAAGGTACAACAAAGAAAGACACATGAAAGTGGCCATCTAGCTCAGAGGCAACAAAGCCCACATGGAAGAAGCACACCAGCCTGTGTGATCACGAGGTGTCAAAGGGATCAGGTATCAGGCATCATCAGAACAAAAAAATCATATC